TTCTGGCTCTCCCACACACTGAAATCACTATTAAAGGGGTGTTCCTTCGCACTTTTGGCTCTCCCACACACAAATCACTATTAAAAGGATGTTCCTTCAAAATACAGGGACTCACACCCTGAAATCAATATTAAAAGGGTGTTCCTTCATACTCGGGCTCTCTCACACAGTGAAATCACTGTTGAACGGGTGTTCCTTTGCATTCTGGCTCTCCCACAGACTGAAATCACTATTAAAGGGGTGTTCCTTCGCACCCGGGCTCACTCACATGCATTGATATCATTATTAAAGGAGTGTTCCATCACACACGGGCTCACACACACATGCACTGATATCACTACGAAAGGGGTAATCCTTCCCACTGGGCTCACACACACTGAAATCACCATTAAAGGAGTGTTCCTTCACTCCGGGCTCTTACACATTAAAATCACTATTTGATGGGTGATCCTTCACAACACAAGGGCTCTCACACACCCTGAAATCAATATTAAATGTGTGTTCCTTCAGACTTGGGCTCTCACACACTGAAATCACTATTAAGGATTTGTTCCTTAACAATCGGTCTCCCACACACCGAAATCACTATTAAAGGGGTGTTCCTTCGCACTCTGGCTCTCCCACACACTGAAATCACTATTAAAGGGCTGGTCCTTCACACCCGGTCTCTCACAGTCACTGAAATCAGTAGTAACGGGAGTATTCCTTCACACTTGAGCTCACAGACGCACTGAAATCACGATTAAAGTGGTGTTGCTGCACACTTGTACTCCCACACACACTAAAGTCACTATTAAGGGGGTGTTCCTTCACACTCGGGCTCTCAGACACTGAAATCACTGTTAAAGCGGTGTTCCTTCACACCCGGGCTGTCACCCACTGAAATCATTTCTAAAGTGGTATTCCTTCACTCCCGGGCGCACTCACACACTGAAATCACTACTACAGGGGTGTTCCTTCACAATCGGGCTCACACACACTGAAATCACTATTATAGGGGTGTTCTTTCACACTCAGGCTCACACACACTGAAATCACTATTACAGGGGTGTTCCTTCACACTCAGGCTCACACACACTGAAATCACTATTACAGGGGTGTTCCTTCACACTCGGGCTCTCAGACACTGAAATCACTATTACACGGGTGTTCCTTCACAATCGGGCTCACACACACTGAAATCACTATTAAAGGGGTGTTCCTTCACACTTAGGCTCACACACACTGAAATCACTATTAAAGGGGTGTTCCTTCACACAGGCTCACACACACTGAAATCACTATTACAGGGGTGTTCTTTCACACTCAGGCTCACACACACTGAAATCACTATTACACGGGTGTTCCTTCACAATCGGGCTCACACACACTGAAATCACTATTACAGGGGTGTTCCTTCACAATCGGGCTCACACACACTGAAATCACTATTAAAGGGCTGTTCCTTCACACTCAGGCTCACACACACTGAAATCACTATTACAGGGGTGTTCCTTCACACAGGCTCACACACACTGAAATCACTATTACAGGGGTGTTCTTTCACACTCAGGCTCACACACACTGAAATCACTATTACAGGGGTGTTCCTTCACACTCAGGCTCACACACACTGAAATCACTGTTACAGGGGTGTTCCTTCACACTCGGGCTCTCAGACACTGAAATCACTATTAAAGGGGTCTTACTTCACAATCGGGCTCACACACACTGAAATCACTATTACACGGTGTTCCTTCACAATCGGGCTCACACACACTGAAATCACTATTAAAGGGGTGTTCCTTCACACTCGGGCTCTCAGACACTGAAATCACTATTAAAGGGGTCTTACTTCACACTCAGGCTCACACACACTGAAATCACTATTACACGGGTGTTCCTTCACAATCGGGCTCACACACACTGAAATCACTATTACAGGGGTGTTCCTTCACACAGGCTCACACACACTGAAATCACTATTAAAGGGGTGTTCCTTCACACTCAGGCTCACACACAGTGAAATCACATTTAGACAGTTGTACCTTCACAACACAGGGGCTCTCACACACACTGAAATCAATATAAAAAGGGTGTTCCTTCACACACGTTCTCACACAGTCACTGAAATCACTATTAACGGCAGTGTTCTATCACGCTCGAGCTCACACACACATTGAAATCACTATTAAAGGGGTGTTCTTTCACACTCAGGCTCACACACACTGAAATCACTATTACACGGGTGTTCTTTCACACTCAGGCTCACACACACTGAAATCACTATTAAAGGGGTCTTACTTCACACTCAGGCTCACACACACTGAAATCACTATTAAAGGGGTGTTCCTTCACACTCAGGCTCACACACACTGAAATCACTATTAAAGGGGTGTTCCTTCACAATCGGGCTCACACACACTGAAATCACTATTAAAGGGGTGTTCCTTCAC